GAAATGCAATACTTACTGTATCAACGACGTGGGCTCCGCACACCTTTCCTGTTGAATCTTTTAGCAGTTTATCCACTTTCACGTGATTTACTGCTTTAGCGCCATGGCGTATTGCCGACAGAATTATTGATATATTCATCCGGGCATCATTGTGCTGCCCTAAAACAAAACGTCAGAGAGTAGGAAAGAATACGAACGATTCTTTTGTAACTTGCAAATATTATTCTAACCAATAACATTTTAACATTTTTAAACAACTCCGACTTCTGTTTTCTTTATTGGAATTTATTACACATCGAAACTGGCAAATGCTATCGTATCTGTAGCTTCTTATCACAGAAATTCCGAAGAACTTAACGATTTCCCATAATATGAGCATATCACATTTAAGTATTATTTCTGGGAAAGGTGGACAGGCTTAACTTACCATCGTAATATATTAGAGCTCCAACTAATGACTCCTTCCTGAGCATTGGAAAAAGCTCCAGCGCATGAGTTTTATTTATGTAATAAGATTTTTTTAAGACTCGTCGACCAGACACCAAATCATATGCTTTAATTCCAAACCAGTAATACGGTACCTGCCACAATCTGTAATATGAAACTGTTTCGAATTTTTTGAAACGAAACGCAGATATTTTATCAACAAGTACAGCACTCAGTAAGAACCAAAAATCACAATTCTCCAGGTAAGGTCGAGCAACTAAGGCGCAATCAACGTGACCTATCGCCTGTAGAGTGCAGCACCAGATATCATTAAAACTGAGATAAATACGAAAAGCAGCCTGTGCCAAATGCTCCCACTCTAATTCGCTTGTTCAAACTCCGTATTTGCCGTCTCCACTACAATCGCGCAACACCTTCCACAAAAAGCCGGCCAAATGATCGCCTTCTAATTTCAAATGCCACTCACTAACACCGATATTAGCCAACTCTCAGCAAGGCGTACAGCTCTTCTTGACTATCGAATTTCTTGTGCTCCCATATTATGTCGAAATCTTTGGTGTTACACATCTCACGGAGTACTCATGCCACAGCAAAATCCGATAAGATCCACCACTGAGAAGAGGAACAGACTCACTTGTAAATAGGCAACATAATTGGTAGAGGATAAGACAGGTGGGGTGCACAGTGTATGAGGTTAGCGCGTTCGAACAAAGCTTCTTTCACCATCCTGAACTGCTCGAGATCCAATCCGAATATTGCTGCTTGTAAGTAACGAACTCCGCCGTGAATTAGTTTTGTGCTCCTTGAGCTTGTCCCACTCGAGAAATCATCAAGTTCCACTAATGCTGTTTTCAAACCTAAAATTAATTTGCAGCTACTTCAGCAGCACTCTACATTCAGCTCACATCCGAAAATTTCAACAGAACCTGATAAAATGCATATGCACCAGGTTTTATAAGTCCACTTCAAATTTACTTATCTATGTTCATATCTAATTCAAGTAAGATTTTTGAACTCCAATAATTCAACCTAGCCCAAAATTGTTAAAAAATAAACCGAGAAGCACTTCATTATCCAAATTTTTCACCCCATCTCGCGCCCCTCCACCACTTTCCCTTAAAATTTTCATTACTTCTCAAATTTCCTTCGAATTTTTATATTTTAAGACTGTGGAACCTCGAGTCTGTGCATCCAAAGCGACACCGGCACCCGTTGCGCCTCCTCCAATCACCAGCACATCGAACTCACCAGTTTTCAGGGACTAAACAAAATTAATAAATATCAAGACGGACACCAGCATATACTTCACATATTTCCAAAGATTGAAGCCAAATAGAGCAATTCTGAGCATGCAAATGTGACAAGAAGTGAACTAACTGAATGATAAACATGCCTGAATAAGCTCTCGTCGGGTGGGCAACTGTCCAGAAATCCGTTTGTTAAGCTGAATATGGATGTCTGTATTAGCTGCCTAAAAACACATTTTTACGTCACTGTGATTGGCTGAGCCTGCCGTGACTGGGCCTGCAGCGCCTTCTTCGAATTGCTCCAAACTTCTGATCTATGCTGCTTTTATGCATAATGCACTTAAAAATGTACAAAGAGACTGGGAAAAATGCTGTCATTCAGAAAAAAGTGTTTCTGGACCTCAATTCCTTCTTTGGCCCCTAGTATGAAAAAATTAATAAAAAAAGGGGCACGGAAACAGCGAAGAAAAAATTTATATGATAGTTCTCAAGCCTAAAACGGGGAGAATTTTAGTTGGACACTGTCGAAACAGAGAGCGGAAGAGATTTAACCGAATATTTCTTTGCCAGAAACCGAGAAAAGTATGAAAATCCAGAGAGAAGCAATAGCAAGGAAATGACCATAAGGCGATGCAGTTTCGCTTTCGCAGTTAACTCCAGAACAGGGAAAGATGCAAGCGGACAGAGAAGCTTCGCAATGGCTCTTTCAGTGGTGCATCTGCTTACATCTCCCCTTCTAGGAACTTCCATGCAAATCCAATTCTCGCTGCACACACACCTCATACAAATCGATTCTTACTGCGAATAAAACGATCCTCGTTGCAGGCGCCTTAAGAAAAAACCGGTTCTCGGTTCCGGACACCCTGCGCAAACCGACTCTAGCTGTGGGCACCCCGCGCAACGCGACCGTCACTCGGAACGCCCCACACAAACCGGCCCTCACTGCTAATACCTCATGTAAATTAGGTCAGTGGTGCG